GGGGGGGGTTGTGTTTGGAGCAGAAGAAGGCAGCAGAGGTTAAGATAAAGTTGCTTTGAACAAATGCTCTCTTTGATCAGGGGGCTCAGCGGTGAAAGGCCTTTCTTCCAGAAGTCAGAGGCAGTTGAGAGAGGAGAGCTGGAGATGCGTATTGTTCTGTTTCATCTCGTCTCTGTCTTTCTTTTCTTTTTTGCTCTTTCACTCTGTTGTTAGCTGAGTGTACTCCCTGCCTCTTTGTTATGGAGAGTGCCTCTCTTTCATTACTCCAGACACACACACATATGCACAGACAATGACTTAAAAGAATGACCAAACACACTCACATCAGAATACCCCCAAATGTGATTTACATTTCTGAAATGCAGCAGACGTAAGTGAAGGGAGGCCTTTTCTCAGTTTGTGTGATGTATTGCTAAAAAAACTTTCACAGAAAACGTAAAGACATTTATAAAACAAACATCCTAAAAAAAGTATTTTCAGCATCTTGATTTGGAGTATTAGCTACTCTATAACATTTTTGGGATAGTTTGTGAGCTTACACGCTTTTAAGAAGATGAAGAGCTATGGAAAAGTGTGATGGATTTTATTTCATTGCTTTCTTCTTTTTTTTTGTAATCATAAAAAAAGTCTTCCCTTTCCAAACGAGAATTCCGATTGACTTGACTTTCTCACAGGATGCCTATTCTTTGTCCTTAACAAAAAAAAAACTATTATTTCCTGTCAAGCAAAGTGATTATTTTCTCCAATCTACCTTCATTCAGCCCTGGGTTTATCAGCAAAACAGAGCTGACACACACACACACACACACACACACACCCCCCCACACACACACACACACACACACACACACACAGATGATATATTGGGGGGGGTNCAAAGCGATATCCTTTTCAATTTCAAAGAACACAAATTGGTTTACATTAACAAATAACTATAAAACAACAATACTGTAGAATAACTAAATGAATAAGCCGAATATCTGGAGATATACACACACACACACACACACACACACACACACACACACACACACACGGATGATATATTGGGGGGGGTCTCTCTTTATACTCTTTTTTTCTAAAGCAGGACTATCAGTAGAGAAGGGCCAGTACAGCTGACTACAGATTGGTGAGAAGGAGTTGAATAGATGTTGCCATGGATGCATTATAGCTATTCCAGTCACACACACACTCAACCTGACTTCACACACACTCAACACAACATATAAATAGTTACATGTTCCCCACACACTCAGTAAAACAGCTGCTATACGTTAGTGTCCAGCATACATGCGGCGCCACTTTAGAGCAAAAACTCCTCTTTCTTATCTTATTTATCGTTAAAGTCTCGACTTACGCACCATGAGAGGAAGTGTTTTTAAAACAAAGAGGCACTGTTAAAACGGTGGTCTTTTCAGCCAATCACTCCATTAAGCTGGAACACAAACATTCCCACCACTCAGGCTTGTTGTCTAGACAACAATGATGTGGGAGGAGCTACGTGTTGTGATTGGACAGTCACCTGTGCATCATTTAAGTCAAATTTGAAATGGCTGTGTGGCTCTGGAGGTAATTCTGTTAATCTGATTTGTATTCCCCTTATAATATACCCTGACCCCTTGGCTGATACCCTGACTTTCTTCAGCGCTAGCAGGTTGACATTTTAGATGTAGAGTCACAACAACATTACATTTTGCACCAACAGGCTTTTGCCAGAAGGCTATCAGCTTTATTTATCCCTTTGGGGAAGTTCAGGCGTTTATAGCAGCAACAGGGTCAGAGTTAAAAACAGGATTCACACAAGGTAAAAATAAAGCACAAATAGAATACAGCATTTAAATAATAATACAAAATGTTTTTAAATAAAGTGATAAAATAACTGTTGCTAATTGAATCAAGGAATATTAATTACAGTTCTGTTGTACTTAATCAAGCTTTCAGCAGCAAAAATGAGCTGCTGTCAGTTAGCTGTACAGACCAGCTGGGAACAACGTGCCTAACTGCAGTAACAGAGCCCATCCAAACTGCTACACAGAGCACTGATTCCCTATTTATTCAAAATATGAATAGTTGAATGTGAACTTTGACTCTGTGAAAAAGATTGGATGAACAGTTCTTGCGAAGGAAACACACACACACAGACACCTTGATCTACCCTCTTTTAGATAATCATCTAGTAAAGTGTTGGTCAAAGCAAAGAGGTTTTAAAAAATGATTTACTAGCACAAACAAAAACTTAACCACTAGACTATTCATTAAAATGCAGATGTTGGAAGTGGAAATAGTCAAGGTCTTCACTGGATGTGATGCGGTGCAGGCTTCTATTAACAGACATATGAATCAAAACGACACGTCCTTGTTATCTTGTTGTTTTGCAGATAGCAGACGCAGCCAAGACTTCCTCTCAGGCTGACGACTTGTACCTGGATGACACAGGCTCAGGAGGCTACTACCCTGAAGACGATGATGACTTTAACTCAGGGTCTGGCTCAGGTAAGATCCACCCCCCAAACACATCCTCAGATACTCTCAGTCTTTGGGGGAAGATACAAACACATTTGCAAGCTCAGCAGGCAATTACCCAGAAGCGTTATGACATTCATTTTCAAGTCTACTGCAGGTAGCTGCAGCGAACGTAGAGACGTTGCATCTTTCACCAGCAGACTGAAGTGTCACTATCTCCCTCCGTCCTCTTTATCTCTCTCCTGTCTCTTATTCTCTTTGTCTATTCTTTCCATCGCCGCCTCTGTCTTTCTCTCACTAGATTTTAATTGAGATTGCCTTGTCACCCAGACTGCCACAGGGAAGTCTGCACATTTTACATGTCGTTTTTTATTAGCTCCTTTGCTGTGCCGGCTTCAAGCACCTCAACAACCGTCATTCATTGGTCAGATGTAACTGTTCTCTGTGCTAGTTAAAAAGAGGACATGACCGTGATTAAATAGCCCTTCCAACACTGTGAATATACCCCTTGTACTCCACTCTGTATTGTATAGGTAGGAGATTTAAACTGAATGCCCATATTTTACCGATCTGTACAAATACACAACATATTCTTTACATTTTGTCCCTACACATGAATTGTAATACCAGATTTAGACTTTTTACTGTGCCTTTTAATAAAGATATATTATGTACCTGTCCCCCTCTTTCTCCCAGGTGTAGGTGAAGAAGTGGTGCTGGAAACAGTGACTGTCAGTATGGTTTATATCGAGCCCAATGCAGCAGAACCCACCCAGGACTCCACCAAAGATTTCACCCCCAGGGTGGAGATTGCCACAGTCAAAGAAAGGGACAGAGACATCACACCCAGGAAACCATTCAGAACAGAGGTAAGAAGAACAGCCCGCCTGATACTGGAGGTCTGAGCCTGATACTGGAGGTCTGAGCCTGATACAGCAGCCAACTTGAATTCAATCTGACGTTTTTTAAACAAATGGGACCACGAAATGTAATGGGCAGTGTTTTACAGTTTCAAAATGAACCTGTCTTCTCTATGCTTCTAATAATGAAAATGTTTCCAAACGTATGATATCACCGAGTTGTCGGGGGGGCTCAGGTTAACAATATATTTTAAAAAACTACAATGAAGAAGATATATCAAAGAAAAAATGGTATGTTCTTTTATTAGCTTGGTTGATCAGATGGCTGATGATTTTGATAAAAGCCAGTTTGAAATAGTATCCAATCTTTTACAAAATAAAATGAATTTCTCTTACATATGAAGCTGAAACTAGGAGGAAGTTAGCTTAGCTTCAGCTTAGCATACGATATGTTTTAAGTTTGGATAACTATCTCCTGGCTTTAGTTTCATATTTAACATCAAAGTATGAGAGTTGTATTGATTATTGAAGCAAAGGAGCAATGTTTTCAAACTATAGGAGACTATTACATAAAAAACATCAAGGAACATGTTTACCTCGTGTCATATGCTATAGGTTTATAATACTAAGACACAATACAAAGAGTGACACAGTACCCCAGTATGTCTCCAGCTGACCCAGTATGTTATCACATCCCCTGTGATAACAGAGACATGTGGTCGCTTTCAGAATAAAGATCAAGTGGTCACGTCAGTTCTCAATGTTTTCGCTCCATTGCAAATCGTGGAGGATTAGATCTCTCCGACATAATCACATATTTTGGAAGCATCCTAGATCTCACTTCTGTGGGATGCACTCTTACTGCACTGTACTGGATACTACATCTGTTTGGGATTAGTCGTCATGGTCTCTAACCGGAAGCCAAGCCTAACTGGCCCAGTTCCATTTTTTCCCCCTTGCCTCTGTCACCACTACCCCCTTAGCCAAATGCCCTGGCCCAGTTCCATTTGAGTCTTTTGCACCCTATACACAGGAAACAAGGGCCCAGATACTTTGCTCCTTTTCCTTGACCCCCAGAAAAAACTCAGGTCTTGAACTGATATTTTTAGGCAATCTGGATCCTTACAATTTGTTCTCTCTGAACAGTGGCTATATATATATCTACTGGCATGCTTCCGTTAGATTAGCTTAGCATAACAACTGAAAAGCGAGGGTCAGAAAGCCTCGTTCCCTCAAAAGGTACAAATATCCCCTCACCAGGACCTCTAAAGCTCAGTATTGGACACAGTATATGTTGTTATTTATATATATTTTTTGTTGTGAGAATATTTCTTGGTGGGGCGCGTAACCTTCACTGGCTGCTTGTTAACTTCACGGGGATGAAAACACTCGCAGAAATTCCTGCACGCGGCTAAGAAATAGTCCATAATATAACCTCCTGTTAAAAGACTTCTTTACAGATTAGTTTGTAGAGATGAAACATGCAGGCGAGATATTACTTTCATATCACTACGATGTTATGTAAATTGCTGAGCTTAAAAGTTTCTGGTAGACAGATGTTTTACCTTTGGACAGAGCCAGGCTGTCTCTTCATGCTAAGCTAAGTTAATTGGCTGTAATTCCTTATTAAATGGAGACCCATCTTCTTTTCTAACTCTCAACCAAAAAGCATATTTCACGAAATGTCAAGCTATTTCTCTAATATTATCAGTTTTGATGGTTGCAGGAAGGACTCATTCCATAATACTTAAGCAAACCTTAGTCTACTTAACACAGAGACAAGAAAAACTGAAGGACTATAGAAGTAATCTGCCAGTTGAGACTAAATCCTCTTTTCTTCCCTCATTCAGGTCCCAGTGCCAGTCACAGAGGACATGCAGAGGAACCAGATGACTAGTACAACGAGCACCCCCGGGTCCCCCAAGGAGCCCGTCGAGGTCCGCACTGAAAACCTTTTCCAGAGGACTGAGGTGTTGGCAGGTATGTGTCAAAAAGAACCGCAAACAAATTATGTACTATTTGTTTGACTCTGGTTTGTGTTCCAAATTAAGTTTTTTTTTTTTATATTTGGACAATACATGGTATATTAGATTAACATTAGAGGTAATGCCCAGGTCAGATTGATGTGGAGCTGAGCCCAGATATGATGAGTTTGATTGGATGATTGATACCACCAGGATGGAGGGAATTGCTAAATTATAATATGCTAGGCAAAATAATTTAGTTCAGAGCCAGGTTTCTCCTGTTTCCAGCATTAAAGCTGAACTACATTAGTCTTGGCTTTATATTTATTGCATAGCTCGGTATAATTAACCTCAATAAGAAAGCCTATTACCAAAATGTCAAACTATTTCTTAATATTTAGCCCATAATTAATGTGTTTTTCTGTTTTACACTCCACCAATTAATTATTTGATGCACTTCGGGAGCAATTATTGAATTTGCCATGTAATGATTCTCAAATTCTTATATGTAACAAAATGTCAGCATATTTATAGTGAATGGCTAACAGAACAGGAAATATATCCCCTGAGGGTTTCCCACCTATTAAACTTCTCAAAATAATTATCTTTAATAAAGAACCATCTGCGTCCCTCTGCGGGACCTCGCAGAGTTCACAGAATGGTGGGTGTTTAAAGTGTAAATAAAGAGGATGGAAGGGAAATGATTAGAGAGAAAATCACAGTCCTCTCTGATGACTGTAATGCCGTCTCTCTTCGCCAACGTGTCTGAGGTAAACATTGATTGGCACCTCACTTTCAATCTGTTGTGATACCCATCTGGTGCTGGCAATATGCAGGAACAACATCAGCGAGGACAAACCAGGACAGCATCAGTTAGACAACATCTCACATCTCTCCTATTGACAGTCTCATTTCTTTCCTTTGCATATTGCTCCAGGATAGTGAGTATTGCCAGTGTCTTTAACAAGGCCTGTAAATATTTATAATAAATATACACTGTTATCGCCCATATCTCATTTGCCCTTCTTCTACTGTATCATAGCCGTTACTCTTCATCTCCTGTATGACTTCCATGAAAATAATTGGCGTTGATCTAATCTTCATTTATTTGCGTTACTGCTTCTTGTAGCTCAGCAGCTGGTTGTTTGCCAGGATATTTACCCATGAGGCCATGGGGCCGGTCAACATGTGTGTGGAAACGTAAAGTGGAGCAGAGGGCCAATTGTAGCACCGGGAGAAACCCTAAACAGATTAGGAAGCAATGAGGAACTGAATACAAGCATAATTGGAAGGGAGAGTGAAATAAGCACATGTGGCGTGTTGGGAGCATTAGTGGGGGTCGAAGCTGGAGGCGGGGGGCACATTTCATTCAGATTACCCTTAATGTTAAACCACTGTTGGCCTATTGGTTAAAAAATATGTCGGACAAAGAGTGTAGGGTACAGCAACATTTCCATATAACACACATCTTAAATAACCATCACAACTGTTAGAAGAGTCCAAAACAGCAAATAGCTGCTCCTCTGGTGCCCCTGCAATTGTTACATGAAACGTTATCTTATGTCACATATTCTTGAATTATAATCATATTTGAATCATATTATATAGATTTTTGCAATGATCTGATCGGATGGCCTTATGGCTGGATGGCTGGCAATATTGTAGTTTTGTGATGATTTATCAGCCAGTTGATGAGCAAATATAGGCTTTAGTTAATGACATGGTGGACTGGTTGTGCTCTGTTTGTCCCCATTGGTTTTATTTATCCAACTTCTTAGCCAATGAGCCAATGCCTTCAGCCTCTTCCTCCTAAGCCCCATTCCCTTATTGTAATACAGCGTGACTCGAATCCACCACCATTGGGAAAACCTGGCTCTGTGAACCAATCAAGAATTTGCTTCTTAATACCCTCTTAATGGAAACTCACCAACAGGACACACATTAGAAGTGAAATGAACCTTTGCGAGACACATTAAAGAGTTTTCCAATCGACGTGAAGTAACAGCACTCATGTCAACATTCAGCTCAGAAAATTGCCACTTGGTTTCACAACATTTAACCCCTCAATTTTCATAATTGGTGAAGACGGTTGCTAAAATTAACTGTGTCATAATCGATTGCACAAGGCGTGTGGCGCAGTGGGTTAGTGTTCCGATCAGGGGAGCACAGGTTCAAACCCCATTGCAGTCAGCATGTCGTTGTGTCCCTGGGCGAGACACTTCACCCCAAATTGCTCCTGTGGGGATTGCCCACAGTATTGAGTATGTAAGTCGCTTTGGATAAAAGCGTCTAAGATGTACTTAAGGATGTACTTTGTTGATCCAAAATCGGGAAATTCTTTTTGTTATGAAATTTAAATAAAACATTTTTTTAATTTTCTTTAAAAAAAATTATGCCCCCCATAGGTTGTGTGTGTGTGTGTGTGTGTGTGTGTGTGTGTGTGTGTGTGTGTGTGTGTGTGTGTGTGTGTGTGTGTGTGAATGAAAGATTTTAACATATGTCTGTAAATGATTCGGGACATTGGGCCGCTGGCTCTGGCATAGGTGGGCTGTGGACTTTCACAGTGCATTCCACTGCCGTTGCGAGTCTCCGGCTTTAACAGTCCACTACCGCCCACGAGGACCCAGGTTCGATTCCGGCCTGAGGTCCAAAATATGTACTTAAAAAAAATTATAATAATAATCTCCCGTTTATCGCGTCCAACCTATCACATCTCTGCACCCCGCCAGTGGGACGCGCCCCACACTTTGAGAAACGCTGGCTTAGGTCATTCGAGGTCTCGTTCTTCGTAGATATTGATTTTGACTTTCCCTTACCTTTCTGTCTCTTCCTCTCTCAGCTGTTATTGCCGGCGGCGTGATCGGCTTCCTGTTCGCCATCTTCCTCATCCTCCTCCTGGTCTACCGCATGAGGAAGAAGGACGAGGGCAGCTACGATCTGGGAGAGAGGAAACCCTCCGGCGCCGCCTACCAGAAGGCCCCCACCAAGGAGTTTTATGCATAAAACCATCCCGTCATCAGATCAGCGAAACCGCGAGTGACTGGCAACAACAGTCAACAGCAAACCTGTTCACACAAACAACAAGAAAATGTTTTTGATTTGATTTAAGGATAATAGCATAAAGGAAAGCTTTTGCATAGAGTATTGTAATTAAGACCTTTTCTTTCTTCTTTAAAAAAAAATGAAAACCAAGCATTTCTCATTTTATGGCAAATCTCAGTGTATTTAAACATTTTGTGTATTATTTGAAAAGGCTGAAAAATGACAAAAAAATCAGGATCTGTAAAGGCGAGGAAACGTATCGCATCTGTCTTCTGTCAAAGGAGCGGTTTCTACTCGCTGACTACTTTTAACTGTAGCAGTATGTTATTTGTAAAGAAAAAATGTAAACGTGGAAATACTAGAATTGAATTATTCTGTCAATCCAACTTTCTTTTTCTTTTGTCCTAGCATGTCTGTTGTTGATCTCTAAAGGTGTATTACATTAATTTATCTTTTCTCTGATGTTAAAAAAATGCCTTTGTAGTTTTGATGAAGCTCTTTGGTCTTCATATTAATGCTGTTAACGGTCAATGTAAATGTCCTCCCTTCAGGTTACAATGTTTATTATTTGCTCTCACACCAGTTTTTAGTCCAACGTGACCGTTTCATTATGTCTTTTTGTTTGTTCTCTTTCTCTCAGTGTAGCCTTTTTTTCTCTTCTTTTTTTCAAACCAGGAACAAGATAAAAATAAGTGTGTCAAGGCGCGAGAAAAATCACAACTCTCGCTTCTGTTTCATGTCTCGCTCAACTTAATTTCTATTTAAATGCATTCTCTTTCTCATTGCCCATTCACTGCTTTCTGCTTGGAGTGTATGTGGAGTGTTTTGGGGTGACGTTTTCTTTCTCTGTGGCTTGTGGTGTTTTTGGCCCATAGCCGCTCCCCCCCTCCCCACCCGATCTATCGCTGGAGTTTAGTCCCTGCACCCAAACTATGCTAGCACCCTAACATCTCCTCTCCCTCTCTGTTTACCTTCATCACCACCTTCTTTTTAATCAGATTGGATCACGGCCAGTTGAGTTCTAAACCCCCGCCATCCCCTCAACTCTGTTTTAGCCACCCGTGTAGCCTGGTGTTATTGTCCCTGTCCCAGTGTTGATGCTTTAGGCCCAGAGATCTGCTCACTGGAGGCCTGCTACTGCTTGGACACAAACACACGGGGCAGGGGCCCAATCCCCACATGCAGAGCACATACCTCTGCAGCAAACAACACACAACCCCCCCAGCGCAAGAAACCTAGTTTCTCTCACAGGGATTGATAAATAAGGCTACACAGAAAATGTAAGAGTCCAGTGTTACGTCTGAATAGTCTTTGAAAAGACACTCACATTGAGGGCTGTGTTTTTTTTTAGTGGTCCGTGCAGGCATTTCAAAAGAGCTTCTGTTTGGAGTTTGTTTGCCAGGTTTAAAACCCTTAGTTTGAACGCATATAAGGCTACTGCAAAATAGCCACGTAGCTACATCACATGGGTTAAGGTCACATGACAACAAGTTACTGTCGTTTTTTTTAATGTTACGTCTAATTGAACTTGCTCTTAAGAGATGCACGTGTGTTGTCGGGCAGGTTTGTGAAGTTGCCTTTTACAGCTGTACAGTTTTGTGAAGTAGATGCTGTCACATCGTCTAAACTCTTAACACCACACGAAGCTCTTCATCTCTCTACATCTCCCTCCCACTGTTCTTCTTCTCTTCTTTAAATATGTCTGTGATCCTCTTGTCATCCACTATCCCGTCTCCCCATTTGTTTCCAGCTCTTTTCATAGCACCTATGGTACTGAATTATACTGAAAACCCCAAAGACTCACAGTATTTCTCCTCCCACCACCCCCTCAGACCCAGCCCCCCCCACCATGGCCACATCATGTTGTTTCCTCTTTCTCTTTTTCTTCACTCTTTTAGTTGTTTTTCTCTCTATTAGGAGACCTGACCTTTGAGTCTAATTGCTTATTAGTATATGAAAAGATATATAAATATATATAAATGTATATTCACAAATGTTTTAAACCTTCAAAGTGCCTACCATTTGGAAATGTTCTTGCTCAAGGAGAGCACGAGGCGGGTGTGTACACAAAGGAGGGGTGTAAACGACTTGACTGGCATTCTGTGAGCATGGATGACTGTAATGGTAACTTTTTTTTAGTCTTACAAAAGCTGACAGTATTGTACCTATAAGTTGAAACAACACTACTGAATAAACATTGTGGCCTAATATCCAGCCGCCTGTGTCATCTTTTTCTCAACACGCTTGGTTTCCCTCAATTGTGTCTATCTTTTAAATTGATTAAGTATCTTGATAAGGCGGCACTGATGCAGACAGCTTGAACCCTTTACTACCTCTCACTGGGTGGTTTATTGTTTCCAGCCGATAGAAAACTGTTACTTTAAGGGTCCAGATAAATGTAATAAATCAATAGTTTTTAGGATTAAGCCAAATACAAATCATAAATACCTGTTCCTTTGTAGCAGCTTATAGGGATATCTATATTTTTCCCTCTTAAAAAGTCCTACATTTTATATCATTGGATTTTCAACTGTCGGTCAGACAAAACATGCAGTTGAGTTGTTGCCATGGGCTTCAGGGAATTTTAAGTTAGTGTTTTGCGACATATAACTGCTGCTGTATTATACATGTGAATCTGAATTTAATACAATATATAGTAGCAGCTGTACTTTCAAATCACTGGTTTCGCACAAATGAGATCAAAGTGTATTGAGCCTTCAAGCCTTTATGTGATTGATAGGTATCTGGATTTGTTTGGGGGGGGAAATAAGCTTATTTGCTTTCTTAATGAGAATTGAGGAGATTGGTATCACTCTTGTGTGTGAATATTAGGTATAGCTGAAGATAGATTAAGTTATTTTAGCATATAGACTGAAAACAATGTCTAAAGAAAAGTACTTTGTGAGATTTACAGTTGCTGGAAGGCAGTTTATTTTCAGGCATTGGACGTTCAGTGTTTACCCTGTTTAGTATTAATGCTAGACTGAGGCTAAGCTAAACTCAACGCCCATCTCCTGATATGGGATGCCAGCTCAGAAATGAAAGTGATAGCAATCTTCACATCTTAGTTAATTATAAGCAAGAAAGCAAACAAACACAGTATCATATTGAGACAACAATCAAAACTGTATCAGTCAAGCTGTTCTGCAGTTGTAATGTTTACTTTAAGTGTATGTATGGTCCTGGGACCTGTTAGCGAGTGCTCAGAGCAGACACCTATGGCTCAGTGTCTCATAAACAACTTCATTCTTACAGTTTGAAAAAAAAAACATGCTAATTAAATTTTAGAGATGTTGGTAAGGAGATTTTTTAAAACTTTGGACAGCTGGCTGCTCCCCGAGCTTCCAGTCTGAATGCTAAACTAGCTAATCTCCTCCTGGCCCTCTACACTTAACCAACAGACATTGAGTTGTATAGATATTTCTCTAAAAGAAAGTGGGTGAGCATTTCAGGAAAAGTTGAACTTGAAAAGACTTACCTCATCTTTTAAGTTAGTAATGCTGTTCTGTTATCGTTACAGGGAATTAGTGGCTTTAGTACCTGGTTTTCTATTCTACTAAAACACATTCAAACAACAATCTCTCCTGGGATCTAATGCAACACGTGCTTTTGTCTAAAACGTCGAAAGCAGGGAGCCTTGTGTAACGGCTCATTAACTCCTGTAAGAAATGGTCTCCAACAAAGATCTTATTTGGTAAATTATTTTAAGGTAAGACTTTCTTGGTTACCCCAAAGCGAGAAACCCCCTGCAGAAACACTGCAGTCAAAAAAGGGTATCCATATCCAAAAATAGAAGATGGAACATTTCAAATGTAGGGCTGCCATTAATACTCAGCAGCATTTTCGCTCTCTTGACATTACTTAGAGTCTAAGGGGATTATCAATGTGCAGATGAGTAATCTTTATGTGGTTATGTGCTCCACCATATCATTTTAGTGCCCTAATCTCACTCTGTTACAGAGAGAGATTATAGAGTAAGGGTGGGGATTAATCTCACACAGGATTGCAGATCTTGAGTGGAATGAGAAATCGGTGAGGCCGACATGAAGCTCTCTCAAAACTCCCAAGGGGGCGAGTGTATTCTCATTAACAGGTTTATTTATTTAGAGTTACCGCATTTAACAGAGGCCTTGTATCGTAATGTGCAGAGGAGTTTCAGCTCTGCTTGTTAGGAAAAAGCAAACATGCATAAAATATCTGCACTTCTTTGACACTTGATCCATACTGACTCGTGGTTACACAGGCTGCCTCATCACAATGGGGTTATTCATACTCAGAAAGAAGCCCTGAAAGACCTTCATGTGTGCACAAACCACCTTGTTCTCTTTGAAGATGAGAAGGAAGGAGAGGAACTCAACATGCATGAATCTATGCGTATATCAAAAGTGTGTGTGTGTGTGTGTGTGTGCGCGTGTGTGTGTGTCCAAGTGCATCACCTCTTGTATCGAACCTGAGGGGAAGCGGATCATTGGGGACAGGATAACGCTACCTCTGGTTCCTAATTATGTTTTTTTTTAAGTGAATACTCTTCGTTCTACTCTTTTCTAAGGACCCGGGTCACTATGTTCCAATATGGTATGTGATATTTGCCCAGAGGCAGTTTGTACAAGACATCCCACCAGGATAGGACCCATTCAAGGGGGGTGGTGCAGCAGGGAACCAATAGGTGAAGCCGTTTATATTGAAGCTGATGCAGTCACCAACATTTCCCAAGCTGTCTGCTCCACTGGCAGCTATGTTGCATGTGTTTGCACTTCTAGCCTCTCTAGTTTGTGTCAAAGTGCAACCAGGAATGATACTGTATGCTGTTTGTGGATTGTTTGGGTTAATAATATGAGAGGTCAGAGAAATGTAAACCACACTACGTTAAAGATAAAGGTCAGCTTTTAGACTGCTATTCTTCTCTTTCACTCTTTCTCTTTGTCTCTCCCTTTGTAGCAGCAGAGCTAATTCAATAAAGCTGTCCGCCATCAACTGCTAGTCAGCGCCAAACCATGCAGAAACGTCAAGGAAATGGCGTCCAAGGTAAACAGGCTGTCAGGCCCCATAAGATCTCCTGGCTGGAGACTAAGCCTGGGCCCGGCTGAAGTGGACACGTTGCACCTCACTGACCCAAACACAGAGTACAGCAGCGAGGCTAGCAGACACAACACCGCATCAATACACAAGCTCAAGCCTGCATGGCAAACATAACTGTGATAATTATAGTAAGATGAAGTTGGAGTTTATAGTCCAAGCTCCGACCTCAAGTCAATATTCTTGCCTAGGGTTCATAGTTTGTTGTTACCACAAGCCTCAGTCTCAACTCTACCAGCTGCAGCCACATCTGCATGAGGCTTAACAGCTTCCAACTAAACTCTGCATTTATTAAAAAGTGTAAAAGTGGGAGAGGGAGAAAGGTATCAGAACAGACAGCAGGATGGGTTGAGGTGTACAAGGTCACATCAAATAGGGTTCATAAAAGTCATTTTTTCTGTCCCTTAGAAAAATACAATCTTGTAACCTGTCTATAAAGATTTGGAATGACATTTCCAAATGGTTATTATTTTATGTAAGCTTAATGCCTCTTAAATGTTTTTGTGCCTTTTTCTTTCCCCCAGGCTCTTATTGGATGTAGTATTTATGTTTTTTGTGTTATTGTGAATTAATGTCATTTTATGTTGATAACTTGAATATATCCTCACTTTTGTATGTTCTAAATATGTTCAATAATAGGGTTAGGGTTTAACTTCCTTTATCAGGCACAGTAAGCTACTGTATATCCGTCTCATTGTGGTAAAGGGAAATAGCCGCACAGTATTGTTTGAAACCCAATAAAGGTGCTGCTTTTCCGACATGATAACAAGAATATATATATATCTATATTTGGACTTTATTCACATTTCTAAGCGAGCTCTGACAGTGAATAAAAAAGGAATAACTGAGCAAAGAAAAAAATTGCTAACAGCTCTGTGAGGCGGTATTTGCTAAATTCTCACATCTGCGTGCTAAGCCCTAAAGAACAATGCTAACATGCTAATGGTTAGCAGATATAATGTTTGCCATGTTCACGGTCTTAGTTTAGCGGGTTAGCATGCTAACATTTGCTGAGTGGCACTAAACACTTTGTGCAGATGAGGTTGATGCCATACGTTTTTAGCCTTGCTATCTGTATAGCCAACCCAGTCTCACTGCATTTCGTGTTATAGTCACGAAATGTAATCTATTGATTCGTGTTCACCAACACGATTTTCCCATTTTTTTCGTGTCACACAGAACGATTTTAAAAGCAATGTATTTCTATTGGTAGTATGTTTTGTGCCTGCCAAATAATAACAAATTAGAAGGAAAAAAAGATTAAAAAAATACAGATTTCAGTATTCTCAGGCTCTGAGCCCCATTTATTTTCCTCACGGACGGCAAAATATTGATTGACAATTGATATTGAGTAAGAAAATGTTTTTATGAACCACACAGCTTCCGGTCTTCCAAGACCCGACCGGACAAAAAGCAGTGGTGCAGGCACGAAACACACTACCAATAGAAATACATTGCTTTTAAAATCGTTCTGTGTGACATGAAAAAAAATGGGAAAATCGTGTTGGTGAACACGAATCAATAGATTACATTTATTTTGTGACTATAACACGAAATGCCATGAGACTGGGTTGGTATAGCGTGCTGAATCTAAATAGATTCCAGCTGTCAAATCAGTTACTATAGATCTGTTCTCACAAAATGGATATACTATAGGTTAGGGAAGTGCAATTAGCATGTAAACATTTCAAGCTGGTAAATGAATTCATTATAATTGTTTCTGCTTTTAAGACACTTGACACTAAGGCCAAAGGAAATAATGGCATGAGCACAATTCCTGACCTTTCCTGAAAGCAAGGCAGTCTTAGAGCTGATGTAATTCACCTCTGTAAGAGAGGTTAGCTCGGCTGAGTAGTGCTTAGGATCAGAGGTTTTAGTGCTCCAAGATCATTAGGAGGTAAATCATGTCTAGCTGTTGGGAGGAAACTACAAAAAAGCTACAATGTGTTGAATTTGTACTAATTTTGTGTGGGCTTAGTCTCCATCGCCTTCATTATTATTCCTCAACAGCTTTGAGTCATGTTTAAAAACAAGGTAATTTAGGTTTAAAGCTTAATGATGCTTTTTACATTAGGCAGGGAAGCATAAACTAATTATGCAACAATTTCGCTTGGTTGGGATGATCCACTGGGGA